GCTATAGTTTCAATTGAACATGAAATCTTAGACAGCTTGGATACAAGAAAATTGATAGCAGATTTCGCAAACATAAAGGCAAGAAGAGTTAAATTTCTGTAGATAAATATTTATATGGCTTTACACTTAAGTAAACAAAAATAACTTAGTAATAATAAATAGTTTTTCTTTGTAAAGTATTTCTTTTTTTTTCACACCCTTATGAGACAACACTAAAGAGCCTTTCTGGCAAGCTCAGCGCAGGTAGTCGTAGTTAAACAGGGGGCGGCATAATCGGTATTGCACACGGGCGTTCAAACAGCTAGCGGCACCCCTGCGCCTGCGTCATACGAGTGTGTTACGTAGCGAGAACGTCTGACCGCAATACACACATTTGTGAGGTCTCGTTGCTGAGTCTTTTTATGAGATAGTAAATTCTTCTTGCTAACGAAATTCTTGCCACATTCTTCGCATGTTAACGAGTTATCATTCTTGTCTGCCATTTTCTCTATTTCTTGTGGCTTTCTAACTTGAAAATGTCGAGGATGAGCATTTTTTTCTTGGCCGAGCTTGCGTAGATATGACACCTAACCTATTCGTATGTACCGCTCTCGTAATTAAATTCAAAAGAAATTTACTGTAATAATAATACAGTAATACCCCGAACTTACGCGATAGGTGGGACCGAGCGATAACCGCGTAAGTCGAATTCGCGTAAGTCGGGGTATAATTTCGCATATAAATACATACAAATAATTTTTAATTGGGGCCGGAAACTAAAAAAAGCAATAATTTAGAAAAAAATGTTTAATAAAATCTTAGATAATACATATGTGTAACAAATTATATTATTATACAATTTTTCACAATTACTTGTTTATCACACCATAATTTTAATATTGTTTCCATCTCAGCAATAATACCGTGACGTTTACGAATGATGCTTGAATTTAAAGATTAAGCATTTTTCGCAGCTTCGGGAATTTTTTCTTTACCTTTTATAATTGTTCTGACCGTCGATTCCGGTAGATCAAACTTCTTTGCCAATTCACAGATTTTCATTTTTGTATCGAAGTCTTTAATAATGTTAACTTTACATTCCAAAGATAAAGTTTTTCTTTTCTTGTTTGATGTAGAAGAATCAGTTCTACTTCGTTTGGACGACACAGTATAGTCTCTCTCGAGTCTCCGTAGATATAACAAACATAGAAATAAATAACACAAAATAAATTGTAGCTATGCGTCGATTCCGCGCGACATTTCCGAACGTGTAAGCCGAACAATAGTGTGAGGGAAGTGAGTAAAAAGTAAAAAGTATAATGCAATACTGTACATTATTATAGGAAGGACCGAATAGATGCTAGGTGATAAAGTACCATCTGGCAGATCTGAAACTGCAGTTTCGTGTTCGGATCGAATCAGACATTTTTATGACCAAATTTGATTTATTCTGATCTGTGGACTACAAAGATAGCCCACAGAGCAGAATAAATCAAAGTGAATGCGAGCCTAGCGAAACCCACAATGAGGTAGCCAGGCGATGAGGGACGGAACCTGAAATATCCGGGACAGATCATTCCCAAAAAATTCCTGAGATTTTTTATTATCTAGATTCGATACCGGGCTTTCAGAGCGGTAGGCTGACGTCCTAACCGCTTTGGCCCACATATAGTCAATGCGGTCCCTCATCAGTCCGTCTTTTTTTGATCCTGGTCCATTAAAGATATGGAAAAACGTTCTCTCAGTGCTCTCATAAACAATTTAAATAAAAAATAGTGAAGGCGTTTTACTTCAAAAAACGTTTTTAATTATCTTTTATATTACTGTCATAATTTATAGTTTGAGAGGACTAAAATTTTTTCAATATGTTTTAAATATTTATTTAGGGAACTAAAATAGTCTCTTATATCATATTGTACGGTACATCATCAGAATAAAACTAAATATTTTCTCCCTTGTTATTCTAAATTAGTTTTTACATTTTAATTACAGTATATATATAAATAAATATATTAATAAATACAGTATACTCTTTTTGAAATTTGTATTTTTGTACTGGGCTATTTTCGAACGATTGACAAAAATAAAAAAGTAATCTGGCAACGTGCATCGTTCCTCTATCGTTTGGTTTTTTGTTAGTTGTAAGGATACGAAAATGGTTAAATTAACTCCGGATTTAATATTACAGTCGGCTCAATATATTAATCCCGTTCGAGACAGAGAGTTAGATTTGAGAGGTAATTTTAAACAGTTTTATTGAAATGTTCTGCATGCAATAACTAAAAATATAGAGTCGCGATTTGTCACTTGAAAACTACTTTCAAACTTATCATAATACAGTTTGATCAAATATAATTTGTTCGTGTATATTAATTTGGTTAATTAAATAATCATTGAACTAATATAAATGAAATATAATAAAAACTTAAGATTTTTTTTAAATAGCCTATTAAAATTGAGAGTAGAACAGTTATTCGTTGATTTCAAAGGTTGTATCCGATGAAGATGATGATGAAGATGATGATAATGGATGACCCTGTATTTTATAACTAGTGTATGCTTACAACTTCCAGCACAATGAGTATTCAATCAGAAATGTTTTTGGCTTTGTTCATAGGCCCTCTTTAGGTGAAATAAAAGTTGGCACTTGTGCTGTTTAGTGGGTACGGCTATTTGAGAGGTTTTCTTCCACAAAATTAATTAAATCTAGATTAATTTCACTCGAATATTTCCAAAACACGTATAATTTGTTGGAAATATTTTATTCATAGCGTATTTTATATCGATCATTTCCAACAAATTATGTGTTTTGGAAATATTCGAGTGAAATTAATCTAGATTTGATTAATTAATTTTGTGGAAGAAAACCTCTGAAATAGCCGTACCCACTAAACATCACAAGTGCCTAAAAGTTTTAGTTCTACTGAGCTTCTGTATGTTTTCAAGTTATTTGAATATGCTGTTCGTCAAAATTATAACAAATGGATGCTGATATTAAAAATTGATTCACATTTCCTTGCATAACTTGCCAAGCTTGCTCTAGGTTTATCTTGTCTGTGTTATCAATGCTTCCTCCTGTACCATCCTGTTTTTAGATCTCGATAGTTTTGTTCTGTCAAATATCGTTCTTACCAGATTGAAGCCAAACCTGTAAGGATTTAACTTCAGTCTGGTATGGTATTATTTCGGGATCTGATGCAAATTGGGCCGGAGTGGTCATGTGGTTCTTCATTATATCATAGACTAACAGACCCCGCCACGCGTTGTTGTGGCTCAAAATGTATCTATTATAAATGTATAACACTTCCCCGTGGGGGGAAATGTGCTCTTTAAGTCTAGATCAGGGGTGTCCAACCCGCGGCCTGTGGGCCGCATGCAGCCCAATAAACGTGTAAACAAAAACAACAAATTTTTTTTATTATTTATTTCAATGGCATAAACCTCAAAAAAAGAAGTTTCATAAAGCCATAAACCTTTCATATTTTATTTTTTAATAGAAAGGAAATATTTTCAAATACAGTACTTGAAATGTGTGAATGAGGAAGGAATACTAAATAAAGCTGAAGTCGTGACTCAAAGGATTATAGCTTCAAATTTGGGGAAAGAAGAGAAAGGCAAAAAAAATAAAAAGAATTGAGAAACGTTGGAAAATTAAGGATCAATATTTGCATAACAGAAGGTCTAGTTAACCTTTCTCATTTCTTTATTTTTTGACCTTTCTCTCCTTTCCCCGAATTTAGGTCTATAATCCTTTGAATACCAACTCTAGGTTTATTTAATATTCCTTTCAGCGTTGCAAGATTTGGCAACTTTGTGCCAAATTTGGCTACCCTTTTTTTTTAGTTNTGACACATGACCCCACTCTATCTTATATCTCTATCTCACTTATCTCTATCTTCCATGCCCTTGATCTTTAAACACCAAAGTTTAATAGCATCAATAACTCTTAATACACAAACTCCTTGCAAAATTTCATATTCAGTAAAATCCACTGCATTTTAGTTTATTATTAGAATCATACCATTGAATATTAAAAATTATCATCATGTCCAAATCCTTTCAATGGGGGATATTATCCAGTCCAAGTATAATTTAAATACATTTTTACAAAAATTAAAGTATTTCTTCATTAAAAATATTGAAATTCATATCAAATTTTTCAGTTATCATTAATTAATATATTAATCAAAATTAATATATAAACTATATTAACTTTTAGTCTCATTATAGAATCAATATTTGAAATCGCAAGAATTTAAATATTAAAACATTAACATAATATCTGCCATAATAAAAAATTTAAAATTCAATTTTACTTTCAACAATAATGAATGAAACAGATCAGTCAGCAAAATAATGAACAAGATTATTTTCAAATAATATGTTTAGAAAATGTTTGTTTATAATTTTTTTAAACTAGTCTACAAGAAAAACTAAATTAAATCAAAAAATGCTATATTAGAAGCAGATAAAATCATACAAAAGTAATTTTAATTTAAAATATTTTTTGAAGTTATTAGAATAAAATGTCAAGAACAATTCACTTTGACAATGTTTCAAATAATTGCTAGAATTTAAACCAAACATATTGTATATAACTTTTAAAATAAAATTCAAAATTTTAATGCATAGCAGTAAAAAGGTAATTTCAAACAATCTCTATAAATTTAAAATATTAATAATAAAAAAATTAATGCATGTAAATATTCTATTTACTTTTATTAATTAGTTCAAAATTGTAGATACATCCAATTTCTATAGTAAGTAGTATGAATTGACATTTTTAATTCATTAGCTCACTAGTAAAAATATAATCTATATACAGTGAAAACTGCTTAGGCGACCACCTGCATTCAACGGGCACCTGTCAAAACGAACAAAAATTTCTGGCACGGAATAGTTTATCCATAGAGTCTTCGTATAAGTTACCTGTATTAAACGACCACCTGTGTAACGCGACCGCGGGCATCGATTTTTGGTCCGAAACAACATACAACACCTGTAATAAGCGACCACTTTCGCGAATGTATCTGGTCTAAACTATT